GTTTTCTTTCGCCACGGTGCCCCGACGTCACTTTCTCTTCAGCCGTGGAAAATTATTACGTTCCGCAATTTCCGCCAACGCCGCGCGTATCCGGTTGGAATGCAAGCGGACAGATCGCGCGCAGGTGGTAGAGGTGTGACCGTGCGCTGAAACACCGGCGATATTGCAACAATCGGCCGATCGGAGGTGTTTCAGCTACCTAAACACAGTCGCGAGTGGTGGTCTACGTAGAAAATCCAGCGAAACGTTTGTCGCTTTTCACCTGTCGCGATATTTATAGAGACACACGAAGATATGTACTTCGAAGTTCGAACGATTTTACATTAAACAACAGAGAGTCGTGATATTTGTATTTATAATTGTATATATCTGAATATTTATAATATTTATGATATAATTTATAATTATATATATCCGAATATTTATAATTATATATATTTGAATATTTATGATATAATTTATAATTATATATATCCAAATATTTATAATATAATTTATAATCATATATATCCGAATATTTATGATATAATTTATAATCATATATATCCGAATATTTATAATTATATATATTCGAATATTTATGATATAATTTATAATTATATATACGAATATTTATGATATAATTTATAATTATATATATATATCCGAATATTTATAATTATATATATTTGAATATTTATGATATAATTTATAATTATATATATCTAAATATTTATAATATAATTTAATCATATATATCCGAATATTTATAATTATATATATTTGAATATTTATGATATAATTTATAATCATATATATCCGAATATTTATAATTATATATATTCGAATATTTATAATATAATTTATAATTATATATACGAATATTTATGATATAACTTATAATTATATATATATATATATATATCCGAATATTTATAATTATATATATTTGAATATTTATAATTATATATATTTGAATATTTATGATATAATTTATAATTATATATACGAATATTTATGATATAACTTATAATTATATATATATATCCGAATATTTATAATTATATATATTTGAATATTTATGATATAATTTATAATAATATATATCTAAATATTTATAATTATATATATTCGAATATTTATGATATAATTTATAATCATATATATCCGAATATTCATAATTATATATATTCGAATATTTATGATATAATTTATAATTATATTTATTCGAATATTTATAATATAATTTATAATTATATATATCCGAATATTAAACTTTTGTATAAAGAAATAGGTATAAAATAGATAGAGGTTCAAAAACGTGTTCCTTATGAAACCTCGCGATATTTATAGAAACACACGAGATGGAACTTCGTTTATCCGAAAAAGTCGTTAAATAAGATATTTTAAAGAGTCGAACAACCTTAGATTAAACAATAGAGACTCGTTTCAAAAAAAATCTATATATTATTATTAAATCTTTAAATTAAATAATAAAAAAAATCTAAAATATTTCTTTTATATTTATAAAAGTATGAAAAAATCTATAATTTAATGATCTATAATTAACATATTGAATTGTTGTTTGTACAAAAGAATTGTGATTCAAAACCGCACGGATTCGTTTGAGAAGCGATTATCGCCGCGTTTGTAGTGTAACTTCCGCTTGATTTTTGCTCAGTTCGCCGTGTTCTCCACGTATGGATCGATCGAATGCGCAACTCTCAGGTTCGCGCCTCTCGATCGCGGTTCGAGGAAAGGTGTTGGGTAAACACCGTGGGCGCCCGACGTGGGCACCCACCGTCTTTGGCCTGGATTTTGCCGAGCAGACGTTCGCCGACTCTATCCGGCGGTCTTCAATCGAGCACACTCTAAATCCAATAACCAGCAAGAGATCGAGCACGAGGACCTCGAAAAAATTGAGAGCTGCTCTTTTTTCTTCGAATATTTATTGCCTCGTTTCGAACGTAGCGCGGATTCAGTCCTGCAGAACGAATCTCGTTACGATCTTTGTTGAAACAATAGCTTTCTCTATTCCTTTTTCTTTTTTCTTTATAATTTAGAATTGTTTTTTTATAATTTAGAATTTTCTTCTTATAATTTAAAATTTTCTTTTTTTAAAATTTAAAATTGTTTCTTTATAATTTAGAATTCTTTTTTTTTTATTCAGAATTTTCTTATAATTTAGAATTGTTTTTTTATAATTTAGAATTTTCTTCTTATAATTTAGAATCATTTTTGTACAATTTAAAATTCTCTTTTATAATTTAAAATTTTCTTCGTATAATTTAGAATTTTTTTTTTATAATTTAGAATTCTTTTTTATAATTTAGAATTTTCTTCTTATAATTTAAAATTTTCTTTTTCTAAAATTGAGAATTTTTTTTTTATAATTTAGAATTTTCTTCTTATAATTTAGAATTGTTTCTTTTTTATTCAGAATTTTCTTATAATTTAGAATTGTTTTTTTATAATTTAGAATTTTCTTCTTATAATTTAGAATCATTTTTGTATAATTTAGTATTCTTTTTTATAATTTAAAATTTTCTTCTTATAATTTAGAATTTTCTTTTTATAATTTAGAATTCTTTTTTATAATTTAGAATTTTCTCCTTATAATTTAGAATTTTCTTTTTACAATTTTAAATTTAATTTAGCACGACTGTTTCTCCGCTGAGCTACTAAAACGCGCGTCTTCTTCTCGTGTCTGATCTCGATCTCTGCTCACCGTGTATAATCGCGCGGATAGTTATCTATTGTTGTTCGCGAAAACAAACGCCAGGGAAACAACCCGTGTATCCACGTATTCGCCGCGCGTATTATACGTCCGCGACTTTTCTCTCCCCCGCGAGTAGTTTGTCTGTTAGGCGCGCGCGAATCGAAACGTGGCGCGCAGGTAATTTCGTGGTGATTCTATGGAGGTAGTTCCATACGTTACAAGGAAGGTCGCGTGGGAAAGGGTCCTCGGGAGATCGGAGGAAAAGGAGGACGAGCTCTGGAGGCGGTCGTGAAATCCTGAGAAAAGCGATAAGCGCCGGCCGCGTGTTTCTGAAACTAGGTAGACGAGAACCGAGGTGGCTCGTTCGATGCAATTAGGAACGAGCGTGATTTATTCCAGCGAGCATGCGTTTCCCAAGCTTTGGATGCTCGAGGCTGATTATTTGATCGATGAGTCGAGTTAATTTAACAGTCGAAATTTGGAAAGTTTGCGCCATCCTTTTTCTTTCTCGACGCTCTATCCCACCTTGATCTTTTACTCGTGTCCTGACTCTAGTGTGAATTTCACCATAATTCTACTTATCGTCCCGCGAAACGTGATCTCAAGGAGACTTCGAAGGTTGGACGACGTGTCTGAATTTGCCAACGAAATTCCAGAAGGCACGATAAACTCGTATGACGTGTGCTCGCGCGACGATATCACCGTGATATCGTGGTAAGCAGCGGCTGTTGGATGGATGGTGGTGGCGCGAGGCCGCGTTAACGATCGTGAAACATATCGAGGACAGTGGCATACGGAACGATGGTGGTGTCTCACCGCGAGGGCAGCATCTCGTCCAACATACGGGCGATAATCGAGCAGCTGAATCTGAATCCGGTGGAGAGGAGGCGGCTGATCGATCGGACGAAGCAGGACGGCACCCGGTGCAAGAGCTATCAGGGCGTGCAGCCCGCGGCGAAGATCAGCATCGGCGTGTACGGGTGCAAGGAGAAGGTCGAGTACGAGATACCGGCGCCGATCAGGCGCGTGGAACGGCCGTGGCCGAAACAGGAGACCACTGGCCAGCGAAAGATCATCGGCTTGGTCAGGAAAGAGGCTGCCGCGCTCGAGGACGGAGACGCGCAGGTAAACGATCTAAAGGAGGAAACTACTAGAAGTTCGTTCGTGGTTCCATGGAACGAATTATGGCAGCTTCAAACTCGATACTTTGTCACCGACCGTGTAATTGTCATTTTGTGTACGCGATGTCGATTATAACATAATTGACATATTACACGACATGTTAATAATTGCAACGTTACGTTGAGATGGTGTTGTTGTTGAGCCAATCGTAGAGATACAAGAAGCAGAGTGCAGATGTTTGTGCAATTTTCATTACCTTGGATATTTTATTTATTTTCTTTTTCCTTGGATATTTTATTTATTTTCTTTTTCCTTGGATATTTTATTTATTTTCTTTTTCCTTGGATATTTTATTTATTTTCTTTTTCCTTGGATATTTTATTTATTTTCTTTTTCCTTGGATATTTTATTTATTTTCTTTTTCCTTGGATATTTTATTTATTTTCTTTTTCCTTGGATATTTTATTTATTTATTTGTTTATCCCTTGAATATTTTACTTATTTATTTATTTATTCCTTGGATATTTTATTCATTTACTTATTTGTTCCTTGGATATTTTATTCATTTATTTATTTGTTCCTTGGATATTTTATTCGTTTGTTCCTTGGATATTTTACTTATTTATTCATTTATTCCTTGGATATTTTACTTATTTATTCATTTATTTCTTGAATATTTTATTTATTTATTTATTCCTTGGATATTTTATTTATTTATTTATTTATTCCTTGGATATTATACTTATTTATTAATTTATTTATTCCCTGGATATTATACTTATTTATTAATTTATTTATTCCTTGGATATTTTATTTATTTATTAATTTATTTATTCCTTGGATATTTTATTCATTTATTTATTTATTCCTTGGATATTTTATTTATTTATTTATTTATTCATTCGTGGCCATTGTTTTGAAGAAAGGAAACTGACGATGTAAATAGCGCAGTATTCACATATTTATACCGAAATTATTCAAGTGCTAGTCAAGATTCTGAACATACAATTAGCTCAGTAGCTTCGAAAGAGTTCCCGAATCTGATCTCGCACACCGTGACCAGTTTTTTACGTCTTCAAGTTTCTCCATCCCCCCGCAAAAAAAAAAAAAAAAAAATAGAAATGCATAAACATCCGCAGTCTGGTAATAATAATTTGCGTTACGCAAATCTGAATGCAAGGGCAAGGTCGAGGAGAAGAGGTTCGAGTCGACAAGATCGACGTGCAAGATCGAGGATCGGGCAAGAGCGAAGCCAGAGAGCCGACGCGCGATCCCTCAGGCGACGAAAGAACAATCGGTTCGGGCCGAGGATACGATCGAGGTAATCGATCAGATCGCTTCCAGTGATGATTCTTGCCTTATCGGAGGCGCGTTGCACGTTACTAGATATGTTGCACGAACGATGCAGGATAAGAAGACGGCAGAGGATGACTCGGCAGGATTCGTCAGACAGTGCAGGATCGAGGATCGAGGAGCGCGCTCGAAGCCGGAAACGAGACAGAGGATCCCGCCGGTGATCAAAGACACACTGGCGAGTCCACGAGCCGAGGAGGCGATCGAGGTAATCGATCGACCGATCTATCACGTGTTAATCTGATCTTCGAACACGATTCGACGAAACGGGCCTAATCGAATCTTTTTTTTTTTTTTTCTCGGCGCGATGATTAATTCAGATTATTAATTCATCGCATCGACCGAGTCGTCTTTCAATCTCAGGAGCTCTCGATCGTCAAATTGAAAGTCAACAAAATTTTGTGCCAGCCCCTTGAGCGTTTATGTAGAACAAAATTCGCTGTTGCTGTTTTATTGGAGATTTTAAATAAAAAAAATGTTACTATAAAAGTATTATTATAACAAATATATTGCTATAAAAATAATTATAATTATAAATGTTTTTAAGTAATTATTTTATATATTTATTATAAAAGTACTATAATAAAATATTACTATAGAAATATTATGTTAAATATATTACTATAAAAGTATTATATATTTCATTTTAATTATAAATATTTAAATATTTTTATATAATTGTTTTATATATTTGCTTATAAAAGTATTATAATAAAATATTACTATAAAAATATTATTATAATAAATATGTTACTATAAAAATATTATATATTTTATATAAATATAAATATTTTTATATAATATTTTATATATTTATTATAAGAATACTATAATAAAATATTACTATAAAAATATTATTATAATAAATATTTCTGAAGTAAAAAAATTACAAATATATATGTACTTGTAATTTTAGTACATTTTAGAATATTTACGAATTAAATTTACCTTCGATCATTTTAATTTTGCAAGTATTTGATTTTTTACTTGTTTTTATGAATTGATGAAAATTCAACTTCTTTCCTCTACATTTTGAATTTTTAATAATTTCTTTTTCAAAAGATAAAATGTTAATTTCTGTAAATACCAATAAAATTAAAAAATTTTCAAAAAAAAAAAAAAAAAAAAAAAACACTAGAAAAATGTATCATTTTGTTAAAATTTAACTCGATCTTACAGCAAGTGCATTTACTGTGTTTTTGTCGAGTATACTCGTCATCGAAATAATTAAGCACACCAGTGCACATTCTGGAAATAAAACAAAACGCTCAAGGGGTTGAACACACTGATTTCACTTCTTGTGTGGATCAAGGCTTCTCAAAGTGAACTGAATTTTAGCATAATTAAAAAATTCCCCCCAGAATTAATTCAAAACCATCAGAGCTTGAAACCACCGAAGAATTCTTCTCGTATAAATTTTCATAATTTTTAATCATCGGCAAATGTTTTGATTTTCGTGTTCCTAATTTGTATACCTCTATAACCATCAAGTAGAAAAAAATTTGACAAGCCCCATGTAGATATACGTATACACCACGTGTACAAAATAATTTCTAGAGCGAAATACTTGATAAAAAAAAAAAAAGATCATATCTGAGATATCCAAGAGTCAATGCAAATGAAAAGTTGTAACTGTTGCTCGGTTACAACTGGGTTAAAGCCAGACAGATAGAGTCAGACCGGACAAGACGAACAAAGAAAAGAGAAATTCGAGTTTCGTTGGACGTGAACGAGCCTAGACTCGTATACCAGCTGTTCGCCACGCGATTACGCGCTCGCGAGGGAAGAGGTAGTAGGAACGAAAGCTTTTCCTGGCTGCAGTGAGAAATGTCTTTCCGAGACGGCACCTGCAACCGGTTCCCGAACGATCACGGTTAACTGGCTGCACTTGCTCGTCCCGATAGTGGTTAATACCGTTATAGTCGGCGCTTTGCGAGCCGATGCACTCGGCTCAAAGGTTGCCAACAGTGTCACCGGTAATTCGTCTAGCCTGTCGTCGCTCTATTTTTACAATTGTCGAATTCTTTCTGATAACACACACACACACACACACACACACACACACACACACACGTTGGCGTCGCATCCCTTTTTGTCTTTTTAAAAAATTTCTTTTTAATTATTTTAAATTTAATTGTAAAAAAATTTCTTTTCATTTATTTTAAATTTAATGATTTATAAAAAGATTCTTTTCAATTACTTTAAATTTAATTAATTATGAAAAATTTGTTTTCAGTTATTTTAAATTTAATTAATAATGAAAAATTTCTTTTCAGTTATTTTAAATTTAATTAATTATAAAAAATTTCTTTTCAATTGTTTTAAATTTAATTAATGATGAAAAATTTATTTTCAATTATTTTAAATTTAATTAATAATGAAAAATTTCTTTTCAGTTATTTTAAATTTAATTAATTATAAAAAATTTCTTTTCAATTGTTTTAAATTTAATTAATGATGAAAAATTTATTTTCAATTATTTTAAATTTAATTAATAATGAAAAATTTCTTTTCAGTTATTTTAAATTTAATTAATTATAAAAAATTTCTTTTCAATTATTTTAAATTTAATTAATGATGAAAAATTTATTTTCAATTATTTTAAATTTAATTAATAATGAAAAATTCTTTTCAGTTATTTTAAATTTAATTAATTATAAAAACTTCCTTTTCAATTATTCTAAATTTAATTAATTATGAAAAATTTATTTTCAATTATTCTAAATTTAATTAATTATGAAAAATTTATTTTCCATTATTCTAAATTTAATTAATTATGAAAATTTTCTTTTCAATTGTTTCAAATTTATTTAATCATTTTAAATTTAAAAAAAGTGCATCTTGACTGAGCTTAATCTCGTCTTTCCAGGGTTCGAAATCACCAAAGGACGCCGTCGATCGTGTCACACCCGTGGCCAAAGAAGATTTACGTAAGTGTCTCGGCAACTTTTGGCAATTTTGCTCTCACGAATGTAATCTCACTTCTCTTTTTTTTCAACGAAATGTTTTTCCACCTTTCGTGCAACAGCGCAACTGGAAAGCGCCAGCTTGAACCACACGGCGGCGCACCATCGGATCTCGGTGAGGCCTAAAAATCGGAGGCCACCGAGGCGCACCGGCTCGCAAACCGCTAACACGTCCACGTCGACGATCACGACGATAGCGGAGGACTCGTTGGACAGCCTGGGCCAGCAGAACAGCAACGCGTCCTCGCCGACGGAGTCGAAGAACGCATCCGTCACGAGGAAATCGTCGAGCAGGTTGTCGCGCACGTCGGACATCTTCGAGGAGCTGGAAGCCAAGCTACCGAGGAAACCGTCAAGCGTGGCCTCCCTGTCCCCGGACAGTCTGGACGCGGTGTCCGGCTCGAGGACGAGCGTCGAGGTGAACGAAGAGCAGCCGGATGTTCGACCGGTCGTCAGAAAGCCGTCAAATCGAACGCCGAAGAACACGGAGATGTTCGAGGAGCTGGAGTCGAGGCTGCCACGAAGGAGATCCTCCAACCGACTGTCCAAGTCGCCGGACAGCCTGGAAGTGGCGTCCAGCTGGTTCTCCAAGTCCACCGAGGGCTTCGACAAACTAACGGAGTACGAGGAGGCGAAGCCGGTGACGCGGCGACTGTTGAACCCGATCTCCAAGTCGACCGATCGCGTGTTCAAGTCGTCCGACAGTCTGGAAGCGATAGAGGCGCTCACCAGCGACGAGTCGTTCGAGCGTAGGAGAAGCAGCTTCGAGCTGCGCGCGCGTAGATCCTCCAAGAGCATGTCCAAGTCGTCGGAGAGCTTCGAGGTTTTGGAGCAGACGCAGATGGTCGGTACGGAGACCTCGGCTCTGCAGGAGAGCCTGCAGAAAAGGAGCAGCATCTCGGATATGAATCTGTCGCGCGGCAGAAGGCTGTCCAAGAGCATCTCCAAGTCGTCGGAAGATTTCGAGAGGATCGAGATAAGCGAGCTGAAGGACGAGGAGGAGAACGTTGTCGTCAGAGACAGTTTCGGCAATTGCCGCAGGAGATCCTCGAAGCGAATGTCCTCCGAGAGCTCGGACAATCTGGAGTCGGACGATAAATTGGAGAACAGGCGAGCGAGGAGGACGCCGATGAGAATACCGAGCACCAGTTACGTGGACATCGTCCCGGCGGATAGCCAGGAGCAGGAGGAAGAGAAGAGACCGATCGCGATGAGGAAACCATCCAGGCTTCAGAAGTCGTCCGAAAGCTCGGAGCTCGGCAGCACCGATACTTTGGACTCCGAGAGAAGGAACAAGTCGTCCGAGAGTACAGAAACTCTGGACAGCCTGGAGAGAGACATGGACCAGGATAGGAAACAGGAGGACCTTACGGACGCCGTTGCGGACAGACGCGACAAAAATGTAAATTCACAGAGTCTTTTCACTCTTGATATAAAGAGTGTACGCGTCAAGTTTTTTCTCGCCAGTTTTCAGGCATTTCCGGTAGTGCAATTGAAAAATGTTTCGGACAAAATTTTTTTTAGTATTTGACCATATTGTTAAATCTCAAAAAATTCAGCTTGACTTTTTTTTAATGGCACCTTGTGTTTTTGATATCGTAGGATTGATGTTGCTGCTGATGTCGAGACGAATTCAACAATGTATTATAGCGTATTATAGACAAATTCAACAGTGTATTATAGTCTGTGACTTTGAAATGACCTTCAACTCGAAAATTTTGTACAAACATAATATGGGAAGCGACGATAGTGAACAGAGACGGCGTGACAACGAAAAGTCTGAGCGGAGCTCTGTATCATAGTTTAAGGTCATTTCAAAGTCACAGTATAATACACTGTTGAATTCGTCTCGACATCAGCAAAACAATTCTATGATATCAAAAACATATGATTTAATAAAGTCAAGGTGACCTTTACATTTTTACATAAGAAGCATTTTTCGAGATTTAAGAATATGGGAACATGCAGCCCATCAAATACCAAAAAAAATTTTGTCTGAAACTGTTTTTAATTGGTGACAAAAAAAACTTAACGCCCTGTATGTGAAATTTCTATACTCATATAGAAACGTGCGTTGTTGCTGCCATTTTCAGGATACATGGACCAATAAACCTCTAATGACGTCGCATTCGGATCAGATCTCAATGGCGGACGGCATGGCAGAGGACTCCCGATCGTTGATCTCGCCGGACAAATTCTACTGGCGTCAGACGTCAGAATCGAAGGAGAACATCGACATACACCAGCTGCTAGCCATCACGATAGTTACCAGAATGGCCGACAACGGCAATAACCAACGAAGCTCTGTGATTTACCCTAAGAAGAAGCAACAGATCACCACGTCGCAGCCTACCTCGCCAGTCGCCAAACAAGAAGACAACAAGATGATCTTCGATAATCTTCTCGTCAGCAAGAACGACGAGGATTTGCAGAACATGTTGAACGGCAATATATCCGAGGTGTCCACCGATACGAAGAGTTTCAAGGAGAAGCTGATCATGTTCGAGAAACTCGGCAAATGAACGCTACACGTATCGGCAAATGAACGCCACATACGCATACATACACACACACGTACATATTGATTAATTAACAACAGGCACGCGTTTGATTTTCGCGAGAGGTGAAGAAGGATCGACGATCGAAAAGAAAACACACACTCTGGTCGGAAACCATGGCGAAGGTCTTGTTTTCCTCTGTCAACTATTTTACACGTAGATTTCATTTGAATAGACTGGAGATACGAACGAAGACGTTCGGCTGGCTAACAAAACTACAAGGCGGACAATAATTGTAAAATTGTTTACTTCGAACTTTTATAATGTTTTTTCATCATCGAGGCGTTCATCTTCGTTTCTCACCTTTGCAAACACCAGAGAACAAAAGAAGGAAAAAAGTTACAAAAAGATCATCAATATGTAAAACGATTTGTTTTCAAGTTCGTCCGTGGCAAGAAAGTTGTAAGGTCAATAACGTTTGTCGGAGCGTAATTACTCGTTCAGTCGCCCGTGTATTATTTAACTTCCTCCGGTTGCAGTCGTCTTTTCTTCCTTGTTCTTCTTCGTTTCTTTTTCTTTCTTCCGTTCGTAACAAAAGTCGCAAACACAATAAGATTGCCGGTCTAATGATGCAGTATTAGATGGTGCGCGATATCGCGAAGCAATGTACTCGCGCGTCACACTTGCAAATTCATCGCGTGTTTTAGGAGCTTAGTGTTTCTTGTTGTACAGTAGCTTAGAGTATCGCGCCAATAAATGTCGTGTTTTCGTTCCGCCGTGTATATACGAAGAGAAAAAAAAAAGAAAAAAAAAGACCCCCCGGTTGCAGAATTAGATACGAACGAATGGAGTAACGAACAAAACGAGAGAGTATACCAGAGGAAGAAAATAGCAGTGGATATAATTGAAAGGGTGTTTAGTCCAATGGCCGGGACGAGCCATGGAAACGAACACACAGGGTACGATGTTAAAAACGATAAAACGTAGTTCGAGTAGATATTTAGAGACGTTAGGGTAATATCTCTGGAAAATGCTGCCTTTCCATATCAGTCTAATAGTCTAACACATAGTTTCTACGTGCGAAATCAACAGAGATTGTACTCCCTTGTACTGTTAGAGGTTTGATCCAACTCTTTCGAGATTTTGAAAAAAGCGATCGTGCTTTCGGTTGTTGTTTTGTGTGTTTTTTTTTTCTTTTTTTGTACAAAAATACGATACGCGAAACGTATTGTTATTTTTTTTTTTTTTTGCATTCTGAATTGAAGATTGTATGTTCGAGGGTGTACGTTGCACATTGCACAGCGAGACAAACCGTGTATACGTTCAAAAGGGAAATAGTGGATCATCGTGGGGTGAAGAAAAGACGTTAGATCGTATCGTCTTTATCACGGCAAAGCCGCGTGAAAGACAAGATACCTCTTTCCAGTCTTTTAAGTGCCTTAACGAAGTGTGTAATCGAGGAAAATCGACTGGTTGCGGACGTCGTGGTATAAATTGCGCAGAAACGATTATCACTTTCCTCGCTCTCTCCCCCCTCTCTTTCTCTCTCTCTATTGACCACCTCCCTTTTTAGTTTTCTAGTTGATTGCGAACGTCTCAAACTCCAAAAGATACGCGTAGATTGTTAGATTAACGAAACATAAATAGAGAATTGAATTAACCGTCGTTGTATAAGGATTCGCATAATTGAGAAGAATATAAGTATATATATACTGTATATAATATGCGTGTGTATACATATATATATATTTATATTTGTATATACATGATAGTATATATAAATACATATAAATATATATATATATATATATATATATAAAATATTGAAAGAGCAAAAATCGCCCGTTTTAATGTAAATAAAGCTGCCATCGTAATTACAGTTCGACAACAAAATTCTTTTCCTCTTTATTAAACCCGCATTCCGATGCGTCGCGCACAGACGCATCTTTAAAAAATTACAAAATATCTGGACACATTAAACAGTTTTTCTACGTTACACGTGGCAATTTAGGAAATTCTTTTTCTTTTTCTTTCTTTTCGAAAATTCTTGCATGCGTGTAAAGAGTGACTTCAATTCATTTATCGTAAATCGCTCAGCCGTGCGACAACTCAACGACGAGTGAAACAGTTTAGGTCGTTTTATTCGGACCGGTTCATAAAAATTCGTCTCGTACAAAAGGAGGAATGTATAACAGTGACACAATATTGGCAATGACCGTGTTTAACAACGATTTCTCATTCGCTCATCTAGCGAATATTAAAATGTCCCTCTACCGGTTTTAAGCAAACCGAGCTCGTCGATAACGCGTCGGTTCGCAACGCGTTATCGGCCACGAGTTCCGTTTGTTTATGCATACAAGTACAATGACAAGAAGTTTCTAACGCAAGGACGAACAACCGATCACGGATTCGTAATTATGCGTAACGTGCGAGGATTGACTAGGATGTCTTACTATAGCTCATCGGCGTTATTTACCCGCGATATAGTAAAAAATATTGTGCAAATTTACGAACTTCTTACGTTAATAGCGCTGAATGTTCGAAAAACAGACTTTGATAATATAGGAATCGAGCGGTCGTCCGTCCGTCCTTGCCATTTTTATCTTGTATGTACCTTGTACTTCAAGGTCATACAATCGCGTATTAAATCCTGCACGTTCATGCGATATGAAGTTTATAACTCGTCGTGAGTGTTGGCCGAGTCCTGACTGAGATTGCATACAGCTGGCGTGGAAAATTCCATGGCGTATTCGCATCGGCTAGGCTCCGTCACTGAAACTAGTTTGTTCTCTCTGCCACAACTTAGATTAACAACGGTGGAACGCGCGGGTCCGTTCCAACAGCTGAGGCCGTTGTCGTACTTCATCCTCGAATATTTTTGACCCTCTGGCCCGTTCCAGTCGTTCCAGTGACCCAAGTTAATGTCGCTGCCACCGGATTTCGATCTTTGCGTCGTTTTCGAAAACATGCACAAGGTGTAGATGTACTCCAAATTCGTGTACTCGAAACATTCGCTGTCCAGAGGCGCGAACTCGTTGTCGATGCCAAAGTCACGGTCCAATTTCTCTTCGAATTTGCGAATTTCAGTTAACAGTTCGTTTACAGATTTCTCTGCCGTTTGGAAGTTCTCGCGAGCGACTGTTGCCTCGTCGATAAGAGCCTGCGTCTCTTCGTCGTATTGCACTTGGGACTCTTCGGGTTTCTTCTGTTCGTCGCCAGCCTGGTCCTCTACCTCTGCACCATCGTCCTCTTCCTTTTCTTGCTCGGATTTTTCTTCTCTCGGCTCCTGAGCCTCTTCTTCTTCCTCATCTTCTCCTTCTTCCCTCTGATCAGCTGGTTTAAACATTCCTGAAACAAGACATTAATGTACAATAGATGTACAAAAACAGAAGTACAAAAGAAGCTTGCTGCCAACCTTGTTCCAGCATTAAAAAGGGCTTCACATTTGTCCATGCTGAATCCATGAAATCTTGGAGATTAACTTCCTCCTGATTATTCAAGAAGAACAATGCTTCCTCTTTAGAGACAGCTCCGTCCCTGTCTTTGTCGAACGTCACCCTAGTCTGTAGTTCTGCAATCGTTACAGTACCACTGTTGTCGGAATCCAGCAACTTGAAATAATCCTCGGCATCTGATTCATGCAGCTCCTCCTCCTCCTCACCATCCTCCGCTGTAGATTGCTCCGGTTCAGCCTGCTTGTACTTTTCCAAAGCGGCGTTCTCCCGTTCCTCTGCCTGTGTCTTCAACAATTCTTTCTCCTTCTTCACAAGCTCCGCTTCCTCGTACTCTGCGCGCAATTTAACTAAACGTGCCTGATAATCTGTCTTCAACTGTTTACCTTTGGCAATCATTTCCATCCTTATCTTGTTACCCTCCCTTATCAGCTCCTCCGCCTTCTGCTGCTCCAACCTGGCTTCTTTCCCAAGTTCGTTGCAATTGTTCGGGCATTCTTTACCGGAATTATACTCGTCGGTGGTATCGCAGCAATCACAAACGCCGTCGTTCACCCAGGTGGATGGTATGTAGCGAGGCTTGTGGCCAGAATTCTCGCAGTAGAACGAGCCGTTCGTACAGGCAGGTGTGCCGGGCTCGTCACTGCCATCGGCGCAGTCACAGTAATTATCGTTCACATGCGAGAACGGTATTATCAGGCTCCCGTCAAGGCATTGGAAGTCACGATTCGACGGATAAAGCGAACTTTTCGCGATAGGTATACCACGAATTTGCAACACCTTGGAACCGGCTACGTGGCCCAATAGAATCAACAGATTAGCCGACAGCAGAAAAAGCGTCAGGTTATTCATCGTTATTCCTTGCGATTTCCCCTTCAACGCGTGAAAATGTTATCATCCACTTGCGGTGGCCAGCTAACGAATCTTTCCGGCAAAATCGACCAATTTTTTTTTCTTTTCTTTTTTTTTTTTTGTTAGGTTTAAAACGGACACGAACACGTAACACGCACACAGTTGCGCACGCCTATCTACATCGGCATGGTCGCGTCTCACGTTCGACTAAGCGAGGTAGACGGACTACAATGTCGCGAAACGATAACCTGTGGCGCTACTGTTTCCACGCAACTCGACGAACCGACTTAAGGCGGTTTTTTCAGTTGTACGGATCTCCACTTTGGTTCTTCGAATCAAAACACTGTCAACGAACAATGTTGCATTGTCTATTAAAAGACGCGTGATTGCATCTTAACCGTACATAACCTATATTGAGCTATTGAGCTCGGAACGACCATTTTTGGAACGTTCCGAGTTATCTTTGGATCGAGAGCGTATCACAATGCTCGATTCAATTTGATCCCTAAAGTTAAAACAAAATAACTAATAAATGTACAATTCTCTGTTGATAGAAACAAAAGAGAGCTATACAACTCGATAAAGGTCAATGACTGACTCGGATAAGATCTTCTCTCCGCTTATCCTCTAAACACGGTATACGTACATGTTTCTCATTATGCATAGATGGGTGGGTACATCGCGATGCGCGATGCTCACATTCAAGGTTAAATGCATTTCTAAGTAGTGACACGGTATTACGAGATAAACGACACGAATGGTTTTCTTGCATTTCGAAATCGATTGATCTGACTACGTTATCGCGATCAGAATCAACCTGTTCGCTAGTGGGCGGAACATAACAACTGCGTAAATAACAGTATCCCCCTCGGCGGCTTGACATGTGACCAGTTTAAAGTTTCACCGTAATTCCCATGCGCAATAATAATTCGTTTCTTTGCACTCCTGCTGGCTAGTTTCGAGGCTGCGCGTTTCTAGGTTATGTTGTGTTTACATCATCGCCCGAGCAAACGGACGTTCAATCATTTTTTACACGCTGCGGACGGTCCTCTTGAGACAGACTTTAGTGCGAATACGGTAGTACGAAATATGAGAGAGCAATTCATGCATCGTGTTCCACTTAGAATACTATTTAACAATATCCTACTACTACACATCACTTCGCTAATCTGATATACGGGCCAAGGTTTGCACATTTTAAATAATCATATCTGACAGTGGTACATGCATATGCAAGCTCTCTCTATTTATAATCGTATGTATACGTATACATATATATGTGTGTGTGTGTGTATGTATATATATATACACATATCTATATATATATATATATATATACATCATTTGCATTTAATCATTTTCGATGTTTTGTAATCCTGAGAAACAAAATATTTTCCCTCGGTTTTTTTTTGTTTTTATTTATACTTAAATTCATCGCATACGTAGATTTATACATACGTTTTCCTTTATTACTATGGGAATGTCACCTTGTTCTATTTTTATATGCTAATATATAGATGTATATTGTTGTGCAATTTGCCATTTAACTGCTGCACTTTTGTAACTTTTAATCACGAACCCATGGCAATTCGCTCACATTCTGTGTAATGTTTCCCTTGCTGCTTCTGTAATTACATTGCCATAAATTTTAGATGAATTTGGACCTTCGCAGGTGTAAAAAGATAGTGTAATGAACGTAGGACTATCTACATACGATGGTTTGGAGAAAGAGACAAGTTCTAATAATGGTTTGGAAAATGGTGGGGGGGCTACGAAAAAACTAGCCAGAGGTATATCTCGAGCAACTGAAAATGCAGCCATTGTCTCTTACGCACGTTCTCAATTAGCTACCATTGGATCTCTGGATACTCCAGAATTTACATTTTCACTCCCTGATCTAACTGTATATCCAGGTACTTTATCCATGCTCCAATCAGTTATAATGACAATTACTTTTGCCATTGTACTTTAATGATTAAATGACATGTTACATTTAGATTCATTTCGACAATTTTTGGAAAAAGATTTGATAGAGGGTGGATGCTTAACTTCTTTGGAAGCTGCTGGTCGTTTAAATTGGTGGTGTGGAGGATGTAAAAATGGAAGTAACAGAGTTTTATGGCCTTTGGCAACATCAGGAGATGGCAATTGTCTTCTACATGCAGCTTCTCTTGGCATGTGGGGCTTTCACGATAGACTTCTCACGCTCAGAGAAGCTCTGTATAATACCTTGGCTAAAGGAGAATACAGACATGCTTTGTTTAGAAGGTGGAAATGGCGTCAAATGGGCTTAAATGCAGCTGCAGGATTGTCTTATACAGAGGCAGAATGGTTAACAGAATGGCAAGCCATTGTAGAAATGGCTTCTCCTATTTTCAGGAATCAAAACGCTACTTCCTACCAAAGTCTTGAAGAAGTATGTAAGATTCCTGTACCTTTTTCAAAATTTCAAAATTCTAGTTATCAAATACTTATAGAATTGTAACTTTATAGGTACATATATTAGCTTTGGCTCATGCTCTGAAAAGGCCTATAATAGTTATAGCGGAGACTATGTTGAAAGATGCGGAGGGCGTAGCTTTAGCACCAATTCCATTTGGTGGAGTCTATTTACCGTTGGAGGTATCTCCATCGTGTTGTCACAGAACCCCATTACTTTTAGCATATCATTCGGCTCATTTTTCTCCCCTTGTTATTGTGGATGGAGCGAATGATGTGGGAGACAGTTGTAACGAAGGCGTTAATATACCCCTTATAGATCCAGATACAGGTCAATTACTGCCAGTTTTATTCGCGGTAGATCCAGGACCTGATTGGGATTGGGAGGAAGGCTCTCGAGACTTATTGATTTGTCAACAAGATACGGTAATAAATTCTCTCATTAACAGCATGTGGTACAACTGTAGGTACAATATATATTGAAATGTAATTGCTCAACTTTGGTATTTAGATGGAAATTTTATTACGACAATATTTAGACTGCGAATATCAAAATTTTACCTCGGAAGAAATTGAAAGACTGTCCAATACCGACGGTTCACTTTCTAAAACGGCGAAACAACTGCTTGGCGTGGCTAAACAATTTGGATCAATCGGAAAGTCCGTTAGTAAAAGACTGTGGTCTATAACGAAGAGACCCAAGAGTTTGCCAGCAACGGCAGGTGGACTTTCATCGGAAGGTTTATTATGCGTGAGGATTAGAAGCAGACGTCACCAATACGTGGATCAGATGCTTCAGAATTATCTTCAATGTGCTCATGCGAGGTACAGTAGTATTATCTAATTTGTGCGAATTTTATTGTTTCAATTTCATCGTTTTTGTGTCGTGCAGATTCCTACAAGATCATAAAGTTGACGATACAGGGAGCGAAATGAATTATGGTGCTGGCAAATCTAAATTTTATGCTGCCAGCGATCGAGACAGCCATGCGAGCGTGAGCAAATTATTACCGACCAATCCAAATAAAGATCGTACACTTTATCTTTCAAGGTACTGAGATTAATATAAGTATCCTAAGAATAATTCTCCATTATTAAAATTATCAATTCTTGTATTAATTCTATATTTCATAAATTATTTCCCTTACAGATCTACTTTTTACAATGACCAACCCTCATCTGGGTCAGTTAAACAGGGGCCAGAATTATGGAATAGCGATAGTTTGGGGGTACGTATTTAAGTATTCATTGTAATTAAGAAACTTGAATAATTCGAGGTTTCTCTTAGGCTGCTGTTAAAGAGTGTCGCAATGAGGAGTGTCAATTTTTCGGTTCTGCGGAAAATGATTACTACTGCTCACAGTGTTGGGCGAATCGACGTTATCGTTGAGAAATTGCTTTCAGCGATATATGACAATAATTCTTCAATACTACTCGAATTAAATGAGATATAATCGGATTTAGGCATAACACTACCCATTTTAAAGTGTTGCTTAAGGAGAAAAAAAAAAGAATTGTCTCGCCAGATTTTCTTCTTCCTGCTATGTTAATCCATTCTCTTTGACTTTTTATTTAAAGTTGGTTAACATACCAATGATTCTCGTATATTGCGACAATAAGAATGCTTTGAGAACGCGTGTGCATGCACTTGTCATCTAATTGTTCTCCATACACGTTTCTTAGTTTCTTTTTTTATTTATTAGTATTCATTTTTCTGAGAAGCATATCAGATATACAGGGTTATTAGTTACTATCTGTCTCTTGAACATATAAAATACCATTCATATATAGCTTATAAGTCCAAACCATTTTAAGTAGCAAAAAAAAAAAAAGAACAAAATTATATTTTCACAAGTGACGATACACTTTCATTACCATGACAAGTGAATAATTCCCGACTTTTTTGCATGTGCCTTCTATCTCACATAATACAGAAATGATATATATGTATACAAAGATGACGATAATACTCGATATTCAACGCAACGATGAAAAAGCTGTTTTCTGTCGCAACTGTCCCTATCGCTTTTAATACAAAATGCTTTGTAAGAATTAATGTCGCTTTATTGGCTCACCGATTGCTTCGGTGAGCTTATCTAAGAAAGCGTGGGTTCGATACATGAATTTGTATCAAATTGTTCATTGTATTCAGTCTCGTTGTCTGTTGGCAATTGTTTCTGCAAAATTGTGTGCGAAATAAAACATATTTTTATATTTTGGGCATTTTTCTATTTCCCTGTATCTTATATGAGACTCTGTGTCACATGCTTTGAAATACTGTTTGTTTCAGTGTCGTTATAAACTTTATTTTATTTAAAAATAAAACGTAAGAAGAAAGCTAAAGGTCTTATTAAAAAAACTCTAGTAGTAAAAGTTTACAAATTTATCTCTTTAATTGAATTTTTTGGCAAATAAAAATTTGACCTGTTTATGGACATCGAGATACTAGGTGAAATGATAGTACTAATTGCTATCTATGTTTTCGTTTTACATCATTTCTTTCTTTGTAGCACAATATCGTTTTCTTTGTCTACGAACTGCGAAAGTTTACTCATTTTAATTAATAAATATTACGAGGTTTAATATCAGCACAACTATTTAATTTATATACGTGACTCCGCTCATTTGAAAAGTGCGCGCGCCGCTACAGAATAATACTGATACTGCCACCTATTGAAAATGATTGGAATCAACAAACAATACACGTGCTGACATCTATCGGATTTTTCATTTTTATCTTTTTAGTTCCAACGAAAAATGAAAGTATTCAGATGGCAGCACCTCCGTAAACGAAGAGGGCAATAGTGTGCGACAAGGATAGAAACAAAAATTAGTTCCCTCGTTCCGCCGCTACGCGACGCTAGTGTTTCAGTGTCCACGATTTGGCCGGATTTTCATTTGCGAAAAAAAACTAATTAAAGGGATTGATCTGTAAGCTTTTACTACTGAATCTTCCACAAATTAGACCGTAAACTTTCATCCTGTAGTCAATTTCACATATGAATAAAAATGCACGAATGCACGAATAAAAATTAACAAACAGTAAACAAATCGAAGAAGCATTTGCTCGAGCGACAGTCAGTTCCTGCGTTCGAAATTCGGATTAAAGTCTGAGTAAACGTAAAAGTGCAAACACTGAAATACATGCACACGTGGAATGCAAATTGATCACGTTGAAGTGATTTCACAGATTGTTCTCCAGTGAGATATCATTTTTCTTGGAAAGTGATTAAAGTTGTTTTCTGTTTCTTGTCGCCAAAGGAACAAGACCTATGCCCTGAGAAATCACTGCGACACTGTGCACATGTTGGGTGAGAGCGACTCCTTTCAGGTTGTCCCTCGTATCTACTGTACGAAATTGTGGTTTCAGAGTTAACCGTTTCGTAATAAGAACAATGCTACTGATTTTACCATGCTCGACGAATGAGTTGGATATAATTTTTACGTTGGCCGTAGCAGGTCGCAGGGAGCGTAAGAAACACTCACATTTTTTTGGACGCCGGTAGTCGGAACGCGAGGCACAATAATTTCATGTCTGTTTTGTCTTTAGTCGATGTTTCGGCTTTATTTGTCAAGGTTAAGCCAAGGATTTTATCAGTTTCTCACATGACTCACGTCACTTGACCGAGAAAAAGTTCAAAATTCATGATACAGTGTATATCGAAATGATTGAGCTATGTACGAAGAAACGAATGTTAATTGGCATAACACTGTTAGGAGGGTTAGTTTCGTTCTATACCTCTGTGCACGTTATTCCAAATGTTATCACATTGTTGTTTAGTCTGTTTTACGATTGTACGTGTATATCTTTTTATTTCAGATTAACGATATTGGTATTAATTGTTGAGAGCCATTGGACCGACAACCCTAGTAAACTTTATTTGGAGAACTTTGAGAATAATACAAGATGTATTTCTGGAGATGAATATGAAATAACATCGGAATGTCATCCGTGTTCTGCTTTTGAAATAGCCAGTAAGAGTATTGACGTATGTGCTCATGCCAGGTACAAAGAAGTTGTCAAATGTAAAAGTGGAGAGGCTATAACGAGAAGGTAATTAGTTTCGTGTATCCTTCACTCTCTAACACTTTGAGTGCCACATCTCCAGACGTCTTATCTCCCATTTTTTAGATAAACTCTTGTTTGTGAACATATTGAATTTAAACTTTTAATTTGTAAATAAATAGATAGATATGTATATTTAATTTATTCGACCTTTGGTACTCAAAGTGTTGAGAGTTTTGTATAAAGAATTATACAAATTTAACAGCAAATATAATCTATGTGTGTAATTTAGTTGTGACAGGGTAGCTTGGTTAGAAGAAAGAGCATTTTGGAAGTTCGAAGTATTTATGTTCCTTTTGGCATTAACTTCCTGTATTAGTGTTTACTGGAGAGAAAATGTCCTGAGGCAAAGAATAATACGAAAAGTAGCCAAACAACTGAAGGCTAGTGTATAGCGTAGCTTTTTTTTGTGTATAAATAACTTTTTTTTAAATTTCTTTACGACACATTGGGCAGCTTAAAAAAAAAAATGAACGAAGTTTACGTGGAAGTATATTCATTGAAGGAATTATGCCTAGTTCCGATAGAAACAATAGTAACGTTATTCACTGTAAAATACTGCAACTCTAAAGTTAACATTAAGCTTATACTAAGCAAACAAAAGCCTCTTGAACGAGCGTACACTATAAATATTTCCACTTTTGTATATGAAGTTATGGATATAAATAAAATTCCATATCCTGCGATTTCGTGTGAATTGCCAATTATCGTCGTAAACAAGTCCAGTTGCATCGCAGGTCTTTGTGCGGTTCTACGGAAGATAATCAAAGAAGTTGTGGCGGAATGTCCAACGCATTATTGTCGAAGGTTGTTGGGATTCAAAGACTCGTGTTTGTCCGCTTGTTCAGAAGGAAGTATTTGGACGAAGTTTTGCGAAGTGGATTTGATACTAACTGTGAAATTTCTACATGCAGACGATGCAACAAAAAACGAATTGCCTTCCAATATAGCGAGATTCGAACGTCATATGTCGCAGCCAATCAGACTGCACAATTTACACAAATATATCATGTCAAAGAAATTTTTCGCTGAGAATGTAATATCGCGTGACGGAATACCAGAGCACATGTATGCCGAAGGTTCGTACATGACTCTGGCAGATATAATTATATTTGTCTGCACTCATATTTTGTTGACTGCGTTTTGGAGCGAAACGACAATGCAGCTACTTCCATTGACCATTAAATGGTATAAAAAAATGTTCGAAGATCAAATTATATTCAATTGCCTTGAGTGTTTGCTACTGTTGAAGAGTCAAAACCTGACTAAATTCAATTACACGCTACCTGACGTACCGAATCAGAGTTTGTATAAACGCGATCCAAAAAGATACAAGCCGAAAAGTCGCATTTACACGAGGCAAAAGGATGTGGAGTGCTCGTTGCAGTTATTCAGAACCTTAAACATAGAAACCAAACTTGCCTTGGAACCGTTTGGCGCAGAATTGAATTTCGATTGGTCATCGATACCGTACGATGCCACCCCAGACGGCGGTGCTTTACCACCTTCGCGTTCGGAAAGAAAGCAACAACAATTAGAAAACATGTGTAAACCTGTTATGAAGCTAGCAAAATCGGGAGACATAATTGTAGACTTTTGTTCCGGTGCTGGTCACTTAGGTATCTTAGTTGCATACCTTTTGCCGCATTGTACCGTGATATTGTTAGACAACACAGAGAAGTCGTTGAACAGAGCCAAAGAAAGAGTGAACAAGTTGAAATTGACGAACATAAAGTTTTATCAATGTAATCTAGATTATTTTAAAGGATACTTTGACATTGGCATGTCGTTGCACGCTTGCGGCGTTGCAACTGATTTAGTCATACAACAATGCATCAGAGTTAACGCCGCTTTTGTCTGCTGCCCCTGCTGTTACGGATCGTTACACGACTGTCATCACTTAACATATCCAAGAAGCAACATTTTTAGGAATCAAATTGACCAGAAGAGCTATATAATTCTCAGCCACGCTGCAGATCAAACGCACGATGAAAAAAATGTTAAAACAAGCCAGGGGTATGAATGCATGGCTATCATCGACACTGATAGAATCTTACTGGCCGAGGAATTCGGCTACACTATGTACCTTTCAAAATTCATACCGAACACATGTACATCTAAAAATCATATGTTAGTAGGTATTCCAAAAAAAGAAGAAATTGTAAATGTCGGACACGGAAATTAATTAAGTTGACATATTCGTAATTTCTGCATTTATGATAACCAATTTAAAAATTATTCTTGTTATTGGATTTTCAAATAAAAGCATATTTACTTACCTAAAGACTAAATTCTTTATCAGTCTGTTAATTACATCGAGAGAGAGAGAGAGAGAGAGAGAGAAACATACAATAACAAAATAAAAAATTGTAACAACATTTAGCTTAAACCATGAAACAAAGTATGTAATATTGTTGCGCTAGTTTTATTAAATTGTACGAAGAAATTTTATTGGTATGTACAAAAAAAGGAGAAAAGAATTATATAGTATATAAATTATTAGTGTTATGTTAGTGTCTTACACAGTTTTATCTATTATTAAGTAGCTAGGGACAACATGAGAGAGACAGAGAAATGAAAAAAGGTATTACAGTATATCAAGGAACTAGGGAATATTTACTTTTTTTTTTTTTTTCTTTTTTTCTCTATATCACTACAAGCGGCGCTGAGTATATGCTTCCTTTAGACAATATTGAAATTTAAATATTCTTTTGCTTTTATTTTACCGTTTAACATTTTTCAACACTTAATTTTGGTCTTTTAATAAAATGGCTAATAGAGAACGAAGATAGAAGTATCATTTACACATTTCATGTCTTTAAGATTGGGTTTCATGTACTATTTACAATTTCAGTCGTACAAGCACGGATACACACTAGCACAGTGTAGGTTAGCTGTATCCGGTATTCCTTTCACTTAAGTAGTAAGCTTATGTTTAACTTCACCTACAAAGCTTCGTCCCCGTGTGAAAGATAATACTTAACATCAAGAGATCTTAATAATTATTACAAGCCAAAGTAATTTTGTGGATGCAGCGCAATGCACGTAGAAGTCATAAAAGTAGTTCAGTGTTTTTTCTCAAAAGAATTTAGTAACATTATATATAATCAAAAATTCACTTAAATTTAAAAACAAAAAAACACATCATGTCGTTCGTAGTACGGTTTACGTTTAAAAATCATTAATAAACAAGCTGTCTAAAGACCTGCCCTAAAAAACGTTACACTAAATTCGCAAAAGACAATCCTCGTAAGTATATGGTAAACAAAAAGTACAAGTATCTAGACTAATACTTATATAAATCTGCGTGTATAAAAAAAGAAAGGGGGGAGAGGGGGGGGGGGAGGGAGAGAGAGAGAGAGAGAGAGAGAGAGAAATGGATTCGATCATTCGAAATTTTAATCGAACAGAAAAGAAACGAATTAAGGAGTACTAGCAAACAGCGTAGCTTAAATAAAAAATTTTAGGATTACGAAGAATGTTTAACAGGTCTTTTTTGGCAGTTTGTTTCTTTCTCACACATCCGAATTTCTTTCAAACTTTTGGCTCTGTAGCATAAATAATCATATACGAAACGGAGAAATTTTTTTTACTTTATTTAATGCAAACGTTCATCGAAGATTTGAAATGCAGGATCAATTGATATACCCATTTTGATAATATCAAATTACGCCACACGGATAAAGAAGATTTGAGCCAGCCCAATCATTGTACTTTTTTCGTTTACGATTAATTTTATCGAACGCTGAATCACCACGAGGTAAATCAATTGGTCCTTTTTCACTTTTTTCTTTTTCACCTAGTTAAAAAGATCGACGTGCCAATCACAACACAACAAGCACAGTGCTTCTAACAAAGTACTTATTTTCATACCGTATATTGCTTAAGTTAAAGAGCTTATAAACACGGCATTCTCAACGATTTTATCATTCAGCCTAGAATTCCGAGTGGTAGAGAATTCGTTATTTTCATTTCACGAGATTTCGTCACATTTGAACGTCACTTCTCCACGTGTACGTTTTTTTTTTTTTTTTTTTTTTTTCCCTCTCCATGGAATTATTCGTTACATTCTCCTTGTGTCTCGTTAAATGATCTACAGAAGTGCAACTCGAATTTTGATACTTGCCGTTCGAGTGGAAAATCATGCACGTATCGCGGATCAAAGCGATAGCGACTCGAAAGGCAAACGAGGATTGATGACGCATGATAAATCAACGGACTTGGATGGTTGATCACGTTTGAAAATACATAGTGACAAAAAACGGCACGATATCGTCTCGACGTCGCCCTAAGATACGAGCCTACTTAAACATCTAACGACGAGTAAGTTCTTTTTGAATTTTAGGTGGCACGTCTGAAAAGAGAGAGCGTCCGGTTTAGAAGCCCGTTAATTTATTAATCTATACAATAACTGATAGTTTTCGAGTTTATTTAGCTGTTTCAGAAAATGGATCACGACTCGCCGTTACCACTATCGTCACCGTCTTCGTAGTCGCTGGCGCTCATTTGCTCGTCGTCGTCGTCGTCGTCCAGCTCGTACTCGTCGTCGTAGAAGTCCGTCATGTCCAGCTGTTGCTCGGCTGGCCTCGCGTGAGTCTTGATGCAATAATCCTCCAACGTTACCGGCACGACGATCCCCTCCTTTTCAGCTTCCATCTTTGCTGCCTGCGCTTGTTTTCTGTAATCAACGAACCACCTCTTTGGATGTACCGTGCGTACACCATTGCTCAATTGCTTCGTTATCTTTGTTTCAAAACAATGCGAAATACGTTCCCGAGCTTGCAAAACTGTTTTAAACTCGAAAGTTCTTTTTTTTTTTTTTTTTTTGCGTCCCGATATATATATTTTACGTCATGTTTCTCTTTTAAATTCATCTCGTTTACATTTGTCGGTCCTTGTTTCACTTATCTTATCGTCCATCTATACTATGTATCATCTTTCTGTATTTTTAACACTGTTAACTTGTTAACTCAACGTCCGTATTTTTGTCTTTCTCCTCGCGTAGAAATGAATTTCCCCCGTTAAATTGTGATTTTCAGTATTAATTAATAATAAAAAAATGTTATAATTTATTAATTTTTTGAAAACGATAATTATAAATTTATTAAATTTATTATATATATATATATATAATAAATATTTATTAAATATATATTTATTTATAAAAATTAATTTATTAATAAATATTTATTAAATATATAAACATATATATTTATTAAATTTATTATATATATATATATATTATTACAAAAAAATTTTAATTTTTAAAACATAAAATGTAATGATTAAAATAGTAATAATTATATGTATAACATATAAATAATTAAATATATATAAGGAATTAGGCAAGATAAATATATTCACCTGTTTATCAAAAACATGCCTCACTGAAAATAATTTTAAGTCAACCTGCCCAATGTAATAATTTAATGGCTGCAATATAATTGATTGTACAAAGGTAGCAAAACTTTAACATAACCTGATTGGTTACCATTGGTCAACCACCTGATTGGTACATAATCAATTGATTTTTAAATGAAATCTGGAATGAAAGGATTAATGAAATGTATACCGTCTCATATATAAATTATGAATTTTAAATTTTAATAAAAATGTCAACATCTTTTTATCGGATGATAAGACCCTGTATAAAATCAAATTAAAGCAAATTTCGCGCGCGAAAAGAAGAAAGGAAGCGTCACGAAAAAGCGTGAAACGAAAAGAAGAAAGAAAAAAAAAAAAATAAACTGCAGGATGCGGAATAGATCAATATTATTGTATTACCTTATGATATTTTCATACTCTTTGTCTTTACCCTTGGAGTCACGCCAGCGCCTATACATCACAGATGCATCCACGTTGGCAGGGCTGTACGTATTCGGCTCGTTCAGAAGCGAGATCACAGACAACAGGATCGTCCTATTGCAAAATCGGAGCTCACTCTCGTCTGTGACGACTGTTACTTATTTACAATAAATGAATGATGATCTAGAGTACTTGATTGCTTCGAACTTTAACTTTGATTTATTTCTATTTCTGCATGTGTATGTGTGCGAGTGTTCACCTGACATTCTGCGTTGGATTCCACCTCTCGCACGGCAATTCTCCACTCTGTGGATCATCTACTGGCGGGTGCAGGATTGATATGCATAGATCTCCGTTCTGCGTGACGAAATGAAAATCTGATTACATACGTTTCGTGGCGGCTATTATATAAAACATACAGAAAACATTAACAATACGTGATTACTTTCAATGATTATAATTATTATTATTATATTTATATTATTATTGTTATATTATATAATAATAATTATTATTATATAATGATTATTCACTCCTCTTGCGCTGGGATGATCACGCACGTCGAGAATTTTTTATCCCAAATTGCAACATTTTCTCAGTTTTAAGTGTATTTAAATATAACCCAGGCGAAACAAACGATAAGTTTATTATCTATTATTATTTACAAGTAATATACTTCTTAATAATAATTTCTATCCAGTGATATATCATATCGACGAGTTCAAAAGAAAAAGAAAGCGACGAATTATTGTATACGGCTCGGTCACTCGTTATGGTCCGCAATCAGTTAAGTGGTTAACCTCTTGCGCTAGAATGACGTGCCACGCACGTCGAGAATTTTTCATTCCAAAATTGTAATAATTGTAATAATTTCCCAGCTTTAAGTACATTTAAGCAAAACAAAATAGGCAAGACAAATAAATAAATTTACTACTTCTCA